TGCAGATATGCAGCAACTGTAGGCAGGCTTAAATAGCATCGAAATAGCATCGGATCGACCAATCTGTCAGGAATGTTGCTGAGCTGGACTTTGTCGACTGATTTATTAGCAATAAAATTCCATTGAATTTTAAACTCACGACTTGTTAGCCGTTGACCAATACATTAGAATAATTTGGCGTCACAGCCTCTCCTTTTAAATACATTTATTTCAAATAAATAAACATATAATCTTAGCACAGATGTAAGGAAATGCATTCCTGCAAACCCACAAATGCATTTTCCTGTGCTCAGTTTATTTCAAAAAGTAAAAAGCTAAGAGTTAACCACAGCTATTGTAGCAGTTCCTAATATGGGGACTTTTGTGGGGTTATGCTATTAGACAAATCAGTTATGGATGACTTTATTCCATAAAAAGATGGAATGGAAGAAAGCTGGAAAAACAGCTGTACAAAGACCTGACCACTGTAGTCTCTCCTTTAAACACATTCATTTCCTTTAGCTTGAAAAGTTATTCAAATGGACCAATCGAAGAAAGCACTGTCTGGGTTTCACATCATCTATTTCTAGAAGTCACAATGTAGCAGGAGTGAGTATAACACTCTCTGTCTTCTTTTCCACTTGTACTTACTTCCAGAAAGGAGCGGCACACACGTGCGCTATTAAACGTGCAAATACACAAAGTCTTGAGCATCTTTGATGCGTTGCAAAGTGTTGCAGAGTTGGGTTCTAACTGTGGGCCCTGCTGCAGACGAGCATGCCTGAACAGTGAGATCACGAGCGAGGAAAGAGGTGGCATAATGAAATCTGGCACTCGCGGCCCCGGCACAGGCTTCATATGTTCCACATTAGCAATTCACAAACCTCTGGAGCAGGCCCCAGCAGCCCTTTTCTCACTCCGCCTTAGTCGCTTATGACAAACTGTCACTGGCTCTTTGTGCTCTCGCAGTGGAGCGTCGATGAGAAGTGCAGCGTTTATGGTGGAGTGTTTCGTCCTCGGCTGCGGGTGACACTCTGTGCGAGCAGAGTCAGTGAACCCTCACCGCGGGAGAGGAGGAGCCCAGGTTTTTGCCGTCAAGACAATAAACTCACAATGCTGAGTTGACAACAAAAGAGCAACAAGGGGAAATTGTTTGTATTATCAACACCCAAATCAGAATTGCAAGTGACAGCTCAAATTCTGCAAAAGTATCAGCTCACGCTTGTTCCGGAGCACGTTTAAGACGCTTTGTGCCAAAGCTTCCACTATGAAAGGAGATTAACCAATAAGGATATTGCAAATGATGTGCTTTAGGCTTTATCCTCCCCTCGTCCTCACCCCCCACCCCCCACCCCATTCTTTTGAAATTATTCAAGTGTCCAATAAAGGACAAGTCAATTACCATCCTCTCTTTAATGAGGTGGAAGCTGGCTTTTGGTCCTGAGTACAGAGTGTTTGTGTGAATTAGAATTAATGAGCCTGGTCAAAGTTTGCTTCTAATTGCCCTTTCATTAAGACCCATTTGTGATCATGTCTTAATACCTTCCATCCTTTCTCCTAAAAGACTGAAAAAAGAGGGGGGCAAAACAAAAATGAACACTGCTGCTCTGAAAAGTTGCACAGAGGTCATTAAAATGTTCGAGAGGAGCTCTGAAGAGCTAATGAATTAGTTGAAAGTTATGAAAGATGCTACTACAAAAAGTTCCTGATTCTCAGTATTTGATTGGCTGACATGCTTTAAAAACATAATTAACTTAACTATACGTAACAGGGAGAAAAAAGGTTAGGATTACACTTTCTTTAGGAATGCTCGAGCGGCCGTGGTGTGTGTGGCCACAGTGGGAAGGTAAAAACGGTGACATGTGTTTTGGCTTCCCGTGTGCCTTCCAGCTGTATTCTGTATTTGACAAAGAGAATACCCGGAATATCCAGAGAAGCAGGGGCAATTTAGTTTGGGAGTAAACAGTAAGGAGTCCCTACAGGAAACACTGGAGATGGATTGCAGGATGGAGGCTCTCCCCTCTTTTTCTCTGCTCTCTGTTCTTCGTGACTGTATACATTCCCTGTAGTGACACGGGTCGGTTTGCCTTGCTAATGGGGAGCTGTGCTTGGTGTAAAAGAGGTGGCAGGCTCTATTTAGATAGGGCCGTGGTAAAGTAAACTTCAGACTTGGATTTAAATAAACCTCAGCGGAATGGTTTGCCATGCTGTAAAGTCGTGGGCAGCAGAAAGAGTAGGAAGGAAGGAAGGGAGGGAAGGAGTGAGAAAAAGGCTCTTGTTTCAGTACAGGGCTGTGCTGAGTGAGTGGCTCCAGAGACATAAACAAAAGGGGGATCTGGGTAATTCAACGAGGAGCGGCGGATGTAGGAATGAAGGTGTACGTTGCAGCGGTGAAGGGGTGGAGTATTTAAATTGATAGCACATTTTTTTAACCTCAGTAGCTGTCTGTTATTGCACAACATGACAGAGGCTATAATAAAGTTCCTGCTATGTGGGCAGGGATGAGTAAGATTAGAGAACATGAAGCTTTTACTCCCATAGACGCTGGTAAACCTGATGCTTCATTTCCGAGTCTGACAGCCAAGGGCCGACAGCCCGGGAGTGGAGCTGTGGAGAGTAAACAAAGCAGATTCTGCTCTAGGGTCACCTGATCCAGCCCATAATGGCATGCTTTAACAAAAAGGAAAGCTTCAAGCCAAACTAGAAGACGGCTCCACAGAAGAGGGGCCTGAAAGCTGATGGCTCTACCTCCCATTCTACTTTTAAATACACTAGAAACCACGCTTAAGCCCATTAGAGACGTGCTCTAATGGGGTGGTTCATCTGTGGAGACGCACAAGTTGTTTTTTAAGAAAAGAAAGTTGCTAAAACTGAGGGCAAAGTTGCAAAGTTTGCACCCCTGCAATGATGAGTGAGAAGGATGCCAGTCAGACTTCAGGATGAAATTGTATATATATTTACCCCTTGTCCAAACAGCTCTTAAATCCAAGTCATAAGTCAACTTCTGCATCATGCTGTATAACAGTACGCTATAAAGTTCTCCAGTTTCACAGAAAATTTGTTCAACAAGTGAAGAGAAAACTTAGGCAAACTTCTAGAAAGCACTCGTGGGTTTTCATCCTGTTTTTCACAATAGCAGAGATAAGTGGTAAAAGCCTCCTCCATGCAGCTCTGGCAAGTATCTGACCACTCCGTCTCTGTCTGTTTGATAGTTCTCTCCTGATGACTCAGTTTTGGCTTGGCTCACCTCAGCTGATTCCAGAGCTGCTGAGGGCGGGAGGGATGAGGGGATGCTGGGATGAAGGGATGGGCTGCTGGTAGACAAGAGCACTGCTTGGGCCTTCCCATGACGCACTTCTTCACTCACCTCTAGCCCTGTCTCCCTTCCCTCACTCCTCAACGTTCACGTCAGATGGCTGCCTCTCCCTGAGCCTGCTTCTGGTTGAGCTTTCTTCCTTCCCACTGTTGGGAATAGTGCTTGCTCAAAGGGTATTGTCTGATTGTTGGGGTTTCTCTATGTTATTGTAGGGTTTTTACCTTACACTATAGAGCACCTTGAGTCTCGCATTGAGATGACTGTTGTTCTGATTTGTAGCCAGATATAGATAAATGATTGGAACTGAACGGAAAGCCTTGCTCTCCTGCTGCAGACAGACTAAAGCAGGCTAAAGCTCCAGGTTGTTTGTGTTGATCATCACTGAAGCTCTGGAGCTTCCCAGAAAAAAAAGATCTTTGACACTTAGTTTAGGATCTAGATTTTTCTCTCGCTCGGTTTCTGCTGCTTCATTTCTCTTATTAAGACTCAATACATTGCAAAGCTGTAAGCCTAAGCAAAACTAAAGTGACCACCTCTCAATTGTAGCTGTTGCCCCAAGCTGGCAGTGATTAACCCAGTAAATAAATGAGCCATGAGGTAAGCAGAGACCCGAGATCAACACCTGGTGTATTGCCCAACGATGCAGCTGAATCTGTCATGGCTCAACACTCGCGGAGCTGTTGGGCACCTCACCGTTTGGCAATGTGCCCTTTTGGCTCACGCTTCCAAATGTTTACAACCATAAAAAAAAATATATATATATAGCTAGCAACCTCAGAGACTTGCTGCATGACGTTATACAGATGTTGACACATGTTTAGCCTCGGGGGGATGATAATGCAACTTGGCACTGGTCTCAGTAACACAGGTAATAAAGTGGCTAATGTTCTAGCAGTGAGATGCAGTTAATCCGTGCGCAATGGTCATTTGCTGTTTGTGCCTTGATATACACACTTTAACCTAACGTGTCAAAACTTAAGCAGGCACCTTTTGGTTGCTTGTTTCGACTCGTCCAACAGTGGGTGCACGGTTGCGACACACAAATTCAGCTTCAAGTTACAACTATATAACAACGAGTGCAAGTCAGGGTTCGACGATGAGTGCGTACGTGTGCAAAGTCAGCCTGGTTGTGGCAGTTTCAATTTCTGCTGTAAAAATTAAAATAGAGAGGGTAAAAGTAAAGAAAAGGCTTGAAAACTCATGTAATACAAATATTTTAATGTTTTATCTGGAGGTGGGGGGGGAGAGTGAAAGAAGCCTCTGGATTCTCTGTGATAAAACACCAAGATGGAAAAGGATGTTTTTGTTTCCCATTTTGTTCGTTTCAGTGGTTGTACTCAAATGTTATCCTTTGTACAAAACCATATTATGCTTGGCACGGTGAGAAATGTGCCATTTGGCTGCTTTTCCTACGCTTATTTATCCCTGTTTATTTTGAGTTCTCTCAGCCTTGAGACATGTACAAAGACTTCCTCAGCTAACATTTTTCGAGCGGCGCAGCTTTTAGCTCGGCGCGTTTAATGAGGTCTCATTTGGGTGGGTCCGCTGAAAGATAGCCATCAACCACTGCCTTTCATTACTGCTGCTATTTAGATTAGCCGAGGAGGGAATGGATCCACTTGCAGACGTATTTTAGGAGAACTGGGACTTTTATAAACTGTAAAGAAAAACAGCTCATGTTTCTTATCTTTTCTGTCCCGCACAGCTGCTCCACAATTCTTCCCCACCTTCCACCCTCCTGTGCCAATCGACGACAGACATACCCAGGGACGGTACATCTACGATCCTTCGCCTGTGCCCCCTCTTCACGTGTAAGTGTCTCGCACTCAAGCACAAAACCGCAGACTTCAATTTTGCTGATCATAACACAGGAGAACACATTTGACTCAGCCGCATGGTCCGCTACTAGCGGCGATACAAATCGAGCTTCGAAACTTCCTTCCGCCTGTGGGCGTGGAGCATCCTCCTCATGGGTGCCGGGGCGCCTCTCTTTGCCTTTTCAGGATCAAAGGCCACGGCCCCGTACGTGCGCAACATGATCCGCATGTCAGAGACACACAAATGAACATGTGTCAGAGACAGGGAAATGAGAGCAGGGCGAGGGAAGCCTGGGAGCGCGCAATTCTCATAAGAGCAGTGATCAAGCCCTGTCAAGAGAAGGAAGCAATGCCTCTGCTGACATCTACCCATCTCTGACAGACACAGATGAGCTCCTGACACATGAACTGTGTACAAGTAACCTCCCTGCCTCTTCCAATCGCATTTGTGTGCATTCGATTCATTTTGAAGCGAAGTAAAAGCGAGGCCATCTCAGCTCTCCAGTGGTAAGTTATTATAAACAGGGTAACTCTTATTGCTTTAGTCTGCCCCTGTGGAGTGGGTCCGATGGTGCCGGCCAGGTCAGCAGAGAACTTCAAAGTGCTCAGCGAGCTCGCTCGCATGCACAAATTGCTCCTTTCTCCTCACTATTAGTCACTACCTTCTCTTCTACTCTCTCGGTCATTTGTATTCTTTGCATCCAAACAGTGCAGGAGTCCTCGTCCTTGTGGCGCTTGTTTCCTACCCGCCGACACGGAGGAAGCGATCAGCGTGCGACGAGGACAAATTGGATGGGGCAGCTACTTGGGCCGCATTATGTTTGATATTCTTCATCATTATCAACTCCCCCCTTTCTCCTCCTCAGGAGTCATATCTCTCCCTTGCTGATGTGCCACTAAGCGTAATGAATTTTTTATGTCCCCCCCACCCCCGTCTCCGGCCCACCCCACCTCTCAACCCCTCGTCTCCTGCTCAGAGGAGGAAGGGGGGGTCGAGGCGAGGAAATAAAAAAAACAAGGGGAGGTGATTGATGCCTCATGTCACTGCAAACAAAATGGCAAATATAATTTAGCATTTAGCTTATGCGCAGATAATGGGGCGAACACGCTCAGGCAACATAAGCTCAAACAAACAGCCGGGCTTGTTATCCGTCAGGAGCGCTTTGGTACGAAGCGGAGCAGCAGGTTAGGGAGGAGGAGAAAAATGAGGAAGCAGGCGGGGGTGGGGGGGTTAGAGGGACAACACGGAGCTGAAGAATTGAATTAAGGGGGAGAAGTTACGCAGCAACGGTGTCTTCAGTCACTCTGTCCGGACGGGAGTTATCTGCGCGCTTGGTTTGCTGTCACTGGAGACACGGCCATGCTCCTGCCACGCTACTTAGGGCCTGTTTATCCAAACCATTAGACGTGGAGCTGTTTAATATGACACGCTGCGCTGAGGGAAACTATTTGTCATGATTATAAAACAGCTGTTGAGTGGCCAGCCTTATTTAAATAAAGTCTTGTGAGCTCACTGTCATGCGCATTATCTGCGGGCCCTACGTGGGTTTCATGCAGAAATTGTTCTCATCTACTTTGGATTCTTTTGCACAGGGAAGCAGCAATATTGCCTGCTTGATTAAAAAAGCAGCCCTGAATTCCTTGGTGGGAAGATGCGCTCATCACTTGTGGTATTACAGCTGCGTCCAACCACCTGATGGCAAATTGGAGTTAATTACACTCCCAGATTTTAGGTTTTGAGCGAGTTTCAGCAACTAAACTTTACGACTGTGAAACTACCGCAAAAGCGTAAATCTCTGCCAGGATTTAAGCGATGCATTCTGCTCGGTAATGCTGCTTGTAAGCAGCCCACGCGAGGCAGTCAACGTATAGCTGTCGCTCGGGGGAAATGGAGGACAGGAGGCGGCTTATGGAGAAATATTGAATTGTTTTAAGACAAGTTCTCCTCGGTGAGCAGAATTAATCGTTATTAGCCCCCTCAAAGATATGCCTAAGTACACAGGGACTATTATTGCAGTACTTCCCCATGCAACCTCTCATTAGGGCCTGTAATTACAGTTGGGTTGGCCCTGCGGCAGTTCCATCAATCCAGCCGGCTTCCCCCCGCCATGCACACAAGCCAGCCACCACCGGGCATCCGTGGCCGGAGAAAAACACCACGAGCGCCCGGCAGCTTGTTTCCTCTGTGCCACAATGACACATACACCATCCGTACGTGGCAAATGAACAGAATCATATCCTATTACTGTGAAGGGCCTAATTGAAACGTGTTTATTTATGGCCCTCGTTTTCAGACGAGGAGCGGGCGTTAGCAGCGCAGCTAACGGGCTCCAGTGATATGAGGCGGTGGAATTAAATTAAAAGCTCATAAAATGAAATATGCTCCGTATTAGCTGTTTGACACTTAATTTGCCTTCAAATGAGCAGAGGAAATCACAAATTAACTGTCCTTTGTTTTTTTTCCTCTCCCCTCTTTACCTCACCGCCCCTATTAGGCAAGGGAGAGTGCAATTACAGACAGAGGCTAATCGTTTAGTTTATGAATTCTTGTGGGGAAGGTACCAACGTGCCATTCAATATTAACGCCTCGGGGTCAGGAGAGGAGGCGGGGGGGTGGGGGGCGATTTCTCTTTACTGAGAAATTTATATTCACGTGCAAGAACAGCACTTAACAAGAGTTTCAACAATCTCAGTCTGAGTTGAAGCTAATCCCAACAACCAACAAGAAGCGTTTAACAGGTTTCTTTCTTTTTTATCTGAAGTAACCTAAACTTTACTGTCCTGCACTGATCCGGGATCAGCTGGAGTCTTTTCCTCCTTTAAACTTGGCCAGTTTTCTGTGTGTCTGTGTGTGTCTCTGGTCTGGAACCAGCTTAACTCCAGACTTAGCAAAGAGAGAAAGAGTCTTTCCTGCCTAAATAAACACATTGATCTGTGAAGAGCAGGCTCTCCATGGGAGCTTTGGTCCCCTTTGTGCTGGTTTGGCTTAATGGGAGTTTGGTGGTGGTGGTGGGGGGGGGGGGGGGGGGGGGGGGGGGGGTGAGGCCAGCTCCAACAGAAGAGACCACTCCTTTCATTCCAGCTTTATTGCCTGACCGCGGTACACAGAAAAACAAAACAGCCCTCTCATGCAGCTCAACGCCGGCTCTGGGTCACCCGGAGACCGTGCAGAACAAACAGAGGTATTCGTCACAAGTCAATTATCGGCATCAGAATTTACTCTGGAGTCCCGGGCCCTCGTGCTGTGAATGGGGGGCCACTAAAACGACAAAACATTCTTAGGGGATAAGCAATTGACTCACAACCTTTCGCTCATTTACCGTATGTGGATTTAAAAAAGAATTAGTCAAGCCAGCGGAGTCAATTAAAGAGTCTATAAAGCTGTAAAAGTAAACGAGCACTCTAAAGAGATTTTTTTCATGAAAGGTTTTCTTTGTGGTAACTATTACTTTAAATTGCTTTCCCTTCCTATAAAGTAAAACATGCATATATATTCCCCACTGTATACGTCCAACCCCCCCAAAAATTGCAAAATTAGCTCAGATGCTGTCAGTTTTCTCTATTCTCAAGATATTAACAGACCTTAAGGACTCATGTGTCTCATAAATAAAGTAAAGCGGTTTATTTTTCTCTATATGTGGAGTTAGGGTACAGGTGGGGGGCTTTGCGGGTGTGTTTCCGTGTTCCCGGCCCGTGTGGTTATTTCATTCATGACCAGTGTTTGTTCAGCTGCAGGGCCGACTAGAAGGTATTCTGGAGGACCGGGGAGGGTGTGGGGGGAGAGTTGTGGCACATCTCTATCATCACAACAAAACCTCAGCTCAGAAACGATGAAGCAGGGAGGAATTAATTGGCTCCAGGGCTGCGTGAGCTGTTGCTTCTCAAGCTTTGTTTCATTTAAACATGGCACCAACTTGACTGAGTCACCTTGTTACCCTCTAAATCCAATCAGCTCAGAAGTAAAACGCAAGAGTTCGGACGCATCGCCCCATACGCACTTCTTCCTCCCCGCTTTCCTCACTGAGCGCGCCCGCATGGGTTTTTGTTGTTTTCTTTAAGATGTGCGCCGAGTTCCTTTTGTTATTTACATAAACTGTTGTCAGAGCGCCCAATCTGCTCACGGAGGAGCCGAGTGTTGCTTTGCATAAAGACCACGGCCTTATCTCAACACCTCCTTCCAGACGGGATGAGAGCGAGCATCGCAATACGTTGCACACACACACACACACACACACACACACACACACACACACACACACACACACACACACACGCGGATGTGCACACAAGCAGCATAACAATAACACAATCAACAATAAAAAGACAAAAAGGACCTGGTGTATCTTTTCTAGAAGCTGGTGGAAACGGAGCGTTACTTACAGTGCGATTTGAGGCCTCGTTTAATCATTAAAATGTTATTTTCAGCCACTTTCTAAAAATACAGTCCAGATTTTCTACAGAAAAATAATATATGTAAAGATTTTTTTATGATTATTCACTTTTGAATCTGTTTTCGACTAACATAGAATGAGAAGGGTAGCCATAAATTGCATCCGGTGTAAATGACCGCTCCACCATCACATCTGATAATCTCCATCCAGATGTGCTTCTGTCACCAGGAAGCAGTGGCTGAAAGATGAAGGCCGCTTTTTCATCTTCCTCTCTTAACTGTCCAAAAAACCCATTCTGTGTGACTTCATAGGTCACCCCTTTCTGGTGGAGTCACCAATACCGCTCCGCCCCCTTCCTTAGTCCCCCCCCCCCACCCCCCACACATGCACACAACCCCCCCACCCCTTCTTTAATACTTTCTCAGTGGAGTAAGTCGGGGGGACAGGCGGTCACGCAGTAGCTGGCTTCATGATTAATGGTGTTTATTCTTGACAGAAGGCTCCTTTATTTATCTGCATTGCAGTTTCACTGATACTATCAGTCACCTGAATGAAAAATATTCAGTCATACCAATTTTGCAGTATAATTGAGTAGAGTCACTT